AATGTTGCTGGATCTATAAAGAATCATATATATTCATTCATTTAGTAAATGGCATATAAAGGTGCACCTGAATCAGACACAAAATATTCAGAAAAGATAAGAACCTGGTAGGGCGGGGCCATGTAAGTGACATTCACATACTTGTGATTGTAACCTCCAATGGAGATATATGAAAATATTATTATAATTATATATCCATTACCGATATCATGCTCTATTTAGACACTTCTGAAGAATCGATTGTTTGTTGTCTTGAAATGCGTGGAACGCTTATATGATCTGAATCTTATCTCCCTCACCTGTGCATTTATTTTAACAGATATATAATGTATAACCACCAGATTTTGTATGTCTATGTGAATTTTAAAAATTTTTGTAAAATAAAATATGGTTCTATATAAGTCTTTTTTACAAATTGAATGGTTCTATTGGTTTTGTCTGTGCCTTTAAAATCCCACAAAAAGGGGGTTTGCCATATATGCTTTATTAGGGATGATGGCACTTCTTGTTACCCACCCCCCGCTGCTTTTTGCTTTTAGAAATAACTACAATGATTTTAACATGTATATGTATTTTAAAAGAAAACTTGAAATTGATGAAAATGTAAATGTATGCCAGATATATAGTATATTTATGTTATCTCTGTGTTTAAGTTTAAATTCATGAGCTTACTGTGACTGGCTGCTCTCCTGTGTTTGCTAGATTAGGCCAAGCACAAAATAACATTCTTCTCTGTGGCTTCACTTGCATATGTGATTTGTTGCTATGCCACATCCTTAACATAGTCATATTAATTCCAATAATAACATTTTTTAGGCTATACCACCAACAGTTTGCAGGCAACTGGTTCTTTGGCCTTTTCAATTTCATGGAGAAGTAACCTTCGCCAACCAGACTGAAACTTCACTGCAGGGTAGAGAAGCCAAATGTTACGGTATCTCCTACTCACAGCACAATACCTTCTCAGAAACTAGAATAGGCTTTAGGATAAAATGCAAATGTACACCCTTACAGTTTAATATGTTTACTGGACAAATATACTTAAAAAAGTAAGCTAAATTCCTTTTAAAAAGACCTTCTCTTTAGTTGGTAATTTATTATCCATTTGTCTATGAAGGTTCTCATTCAGCCAGGTCATGTTAAACCTAACAGTGGTTACTCACATTTAATTGTACTTTTTCTGTAATATTGAAGAGGTTTTACAGCTTATCCAAGCTGAAATTGGAGCTAGAGATCTAGCCACTATTAGTTGACCATCTCTGTGTCATATTCCTCTTAATATACTTGCTTACCATGCTGAACATACTTGAATTCTGCTTTCTGGAGAAACACTACTCTGGTTGATGTACTATATATCCGTAATCAGGATGTTTCTACCTGCTGTGCATCAGAGTGCCGAAGCAGGTAGACAATCACCATGATTAACTGCAGGGGACCACTGTTTCTGCACATAGTCATCACTGATATTGTACATAGTCATCCATTTTTTTTAACTTTTACATAAACTCTCACTTTGATAAGTGTGCTGAAGTATAAATTAAAAATAGTCCTGATGAAATTAAGAGGTTAGTGTAAAACTGATTCTAAATTTAATAGAATTGTGGTTTTATATTTTTTGTTTCGTTCTTAATTAATGTAAAAAATATGGAGAAATAAAAATATTTGTATAACAATATTATGTAGCCTTTTTCCCAGGCAGGTTAATCATTAGTTCCCATTTCTTGCCACTAACATGATTATTTTTCAGCTGTGCTAAAATCAGTCAGAGGTTGCAAAAAAAAAAAGCTTGATGTGCATTTCTACCTTTGCAGCCAAATTTGAGAACCTCCCATCATATATTTGTTATGCGTTACCGTTTACACGGTATACCTAAAATAATTTTAAATATATATAGTATAACGGAAAATTTATCATCATACTTACCGTAATTTTCCTTTCCTGGACCCTCCTCCCATCAGCCTACTATGGGCGTCAGCTCCACCCTCCTGACCCCTCCAGGACAACCCCATAACTAGCCCATAAATCTGAGCTAATCCCCTACTCAGGTGTTCCATCACAAGCCTTGCAACAGAAATGAAGGTTGCGAGACTCAGGCTGACTTGAGGAGGGTCCAGGAAAGGAAAAATTATGGTAAGTATGACAACAGCCTACTATAGGACATAACTAGCAATAACAAGTCCCAGATGAGAGGGAAAACAACCAAAAAAAAAAAAAGATACTGGGACCAGAAATGTATTGCTAAGCACACAGACATTTCATGCATCACAACTGAAGACATAACTGCAGCCCCAAAGTGAGCAGAATACCTCAAAGATACATCCATCCTGTAATGGCGCATAAAAGTATTTATAGTGTTCCAACTAGCTGTCAGGGCTCCCAGGTATGACCAGAGGTGTGTGACTGAAGCAGGGAACACGCAGACCTCAGATATGTTATAAACAATATAATTTATTAACACTAACAGTACAAACATAAACGCAGTGCAATACTAAAACATAATACAGTGCAAACAAAAACCAAACCAAACCACCCACAGATAACAGTATATACAAGCAAGCGTCGTCAGGCAGGCTGGGTCAATATCAATTGGGCAGGTAGGTACAGGGGGAGCAAGCGGAGAATAGTCGGGGTCACAGGCCAGGTTCAGCAGGTAGCAAGCAGCATAGTACAGAGGGTCAGACAGAGGAATGGTCAGGGTCACAAGCCCAGGATCAGAGCAGGAGAAGTCAGCAAAGGAACAGAAACAGGATGCAGGACAGATACAGGGCCCAGGACAACACAACACCAAGGCCGAGTCTGCAAGTCTGGCCATCCCCTTAAATACCCCAGCATCATCAGTTCCAGGTGTTAGCTGGCTGAAAGGTTGAGTCTCTGATTGCTGGGAGCACCGCTGGCCAGCCCTGGTACTGCAGATCAAAAGGCAGGTGAGTCCCACCATTGCTGGCCAGTCCATTCCTAACAGTACCCCCCCTCAAGGAGCGGCCTCAGGACGCTCCAAACAGTCCTAGCTGGGCAAAATGTTCCACCGCCCGGGTCTGGCAACTGGCGGGATATCAAAGACTGGCACACCGGGGCGGGACTCCGGGCAGCGGCACACCGGGCTGGACTCCGGGCAGAGGCACATCGAGCAGAGGCACATCGAGCAGAGGCACACCGGGCAGAGGCACATCGGGCAGGACTCCGGGCAGAGGCACATCGGGCAGAGGCACATCGGGCAGGACTCCAGGCCAGAGGCACATCGGGCAGGACTCCGGGCAGAGGCACATCGGGCAGGACTCCGGGCAGAGGCACATCGGGCAGGATTCGGGCAGAGGTACATCGGGCAGGGACTTCCGGGCAGAGGCACATCGGATTACCAGGCGAAAGCAGCAGGCAGCGGGCCACCAGGCGGAGCGGCAGGCACCGGGCCCCCGGGCGGAGCGCAGGCACCGGGCCCCCGGGCGGGGCGGCAGGCACCGGGACCCCGGGCGGGGCGACAGGGCACCGGGCCCCCGGGCGGAGCAGCAGGCACCGGGCCCCCGGGCGGGGCAGCAGGCACCGGGCCCCCAGACGGACTGTAGCAGCAGGCACCGGGCCCCCGGGCGGGGGGCAGCAGGCACCGGGCCCCCGGGCCGGGGCAGCAGGCACCGGGCCCCGGGCGGGGGCAGCAGGCACCGGGCCCCCGGGCGGGGCAGCAGGCACCGGGCCCGGGCGGAGCAGCAGGCACCGGGCCCCCGGGCGGGGCAGCAGGCACCGGGCCCCCGGGCGGGGCAGCAGGCACCGGGGCCCCCGGGCGGGGCAGCAGGCCAAACCGGGCCCCCGGGCGGAGCAGCAGGCACCGGGCCCCCGGGCGGGGGCAGCAGGCACCGGGCCCCCGGGGGGATTTAGCAGCAGGCACCGGGCCCCCGGGCGACAGGCATCGGCCCCCAGGCGGGGGCGACAAACATCGGGCCCCAGGCGGGGCGACAGGCATCGGGCCCCCAGGCGGGGCGACAGGCATCGGGCCCCCAGGCGGGGGCGACAAGGCATCGGGCCCCCAGGCGGGGCGACAGGCATCGGGCCCCCAGGCGGGGCGACAGGCATCGGGCCCCCAGGCGGAGCGGCGGGCGCCGGACCCACCAGGCGGGAGCGACAGGTCTCGGGCCCTCAGGCGCGAGCGGCGGGCGCCGGACTCCCCAGATGGAGCGATAGGTCCTCGGGCCCTCAGGCGGAGCGGCGGGCGCCGCGGGACCCCCAGCTGGGAGCGACAGGTCTCGGGCCCTCAGGCGGAGCGGCGGGCGCCGGACCCCCAGGCGGAGCAACAGGTCTCGGGCCCCAGGCGGAGCGGCGGGCGCCGGACCCCCAGGCGGAGCGACAGGTCTCGGGCCCTCAGGCGGGAGCGCGCGGGCGCCGGACCCCCAGGTGGAGCGACATGTCTCGGGCCCTCAGGCGGAGCGGCAGGCGCCGGACCCCCAGGAGGAGCGACAGGTCTCGGGCCCTCAGGCGGAGCGGGCGGGCGCCGGACCCCCAGGTGGAGCGAAAAGGTCTATGGGGCCCTCAGGCGGAGCGGCGGGCGCGCCGGGACCCCCAGGTGGAGCGACAGGTCTCGGGCCCTCAGGCGGAGCGGCGGGCGCCGGACCCCAGATGAGAGCGACAGGTCTCCTCGGGCCCCCAGGCGTGGCGGCGGGCACCGAGTCACCAGGCTCACGAAAGTGGGACTCCGAGTCAACTGGGATGACCGCTGGCACTGGGTCAGACATTGGATCGTCTGGCTGGACAGGCTGCATCGGGTCACCAGGCATCAGGTCAAATGACTCGACTCAGCGGGCACCGCGTCATCTGGCAAGGCAGTGGGCTCCGAGTCACTGGTATGACCGCGGGCACTGGGTCAGACTTGGATCCGTCTGACTGGACAGCGGGCACATGGTGTCACCAGGCATCAGGTCATTTGGCTCGACAGCGGGCACCGCGTCATCTGGCAAAGGCAGTGGGCTCCGAGTTGGTCAACAGGCACGACAGTGAGCACCGGGGCATCAGGTACCGGATTGTCTGGCTCGACAGGGGCATCGGGTCACCAGGTAAATGACAGCGGGCACTGGGTCACCAGGCATCAGGTCATTTGGCTTGTCAGCGGGCACCGCGTCATCTGGCAAGGCAGTGGCTCCGAGTCAACTGGTATGACGCTCGGGCACTGGGTCAGACATTGGATCGTCTGACTGGACAGCGGGCACTGGGTCACCAGGCATCAGGTCATTTGGCTCGACAGCGGGCACCGCGTCATCTGGCAAGGCAGTGGGCTCCGAGTCAACAGGCATGACAGTGAGCACCGGGGCATCAGGTGGTACCGGATTGTCTGGCTCGACACGCGGGCATCGGGTCACCAGGTATGACAGCGGGCACTGGGTCGCCAGGCATCAGGTCATCTGGCAAGGCAGTGGGCACACCGCGTCACCAGGCATTGGATCGTCTGGCTCGACAGCGGGCACATCGGGTCACCAGGTATGACAGCGGGCATGGGTCCACCAGGCATCAGGTCATTTGGCTTGCCAGCGGGCACCACGTCATCTGGCAAGGCATGTGGGCACCCGGGTCACCAGGTATGACAGCGGGCTCTGAGTCAATTGGCACGACAGCGGGCACTGGATTAGGTACCGGATCAATCTGGATCAACAGCGCGGCATCGAGTCAACTGGCCTAATAGGATCGTCGGGCTGGATCAGTTCATCCTGCTGAGTACGGCATCAGGCTGAATGCAGGCTTCAGGCCGAGTAGAGGCATCAGGCCGAGTAGAGGCTTCAGGGCCGAGTAGAGGCTTCAGGCCGAGTAGAGGCATCAGGCCGAGTACAGGCATCAGGCCGAGTACAGGCATCAGGCTGAGGAGAGCTTCAAGGCCGAATCATAGAGGCTTCAGGCGCGTATAGGCTTCAGGCCGGAGTACAGGCATCAGGCCGAGTACAGGCATTCAGGCCGAGTACAGGCATCAGGCCGAGTAGAGGCTTCAGGCTGAGGAGAGGCTTCAGGCCGAGTAGAGGCTTCAGGCTGCGTACATGGCATCAGTCTGAACCACGGAAGGCAGGCTCACCGTTTGGATACTGGCCAGGATGGTATTGGTTGGAAAGAATTTTCACTTTTTCTGGTTTTAACTACTGGAGCACTGCAAGTAAACGCAGGTCTGCAAACAAATGGGAGCAGCTGGAGACAGAGAAGAACTGGAGGATGGAACAGGAGAGGGAGCAGTTGCTAACAGAGGGCTTATATTTACAGGGTTAAAAGGCAGGATAGGTGCAGCGAGTGGGAACAGCGGTCTCTGACATGACATCGGTAGATAGCCCAAGTATACTCGGGCTGTAACTGGAGGAGCTTGGTGGGAATCACAGGAGTAGAGTTAGAAGCATGACTGGGTCTTTGTAAGCTGACTGAGGCTGGGTGCAACAAATCTGTCCATTGTCTGCAGTAGGGGTTGAACAAAGCTGAGTTTTACACAAGTCTGTCTGGTCAATGACCTGCACTGCGTTTTATACAATATCTCAGTGTCTGTAGTGTTGAACATGTGGAATAAACGCTCCAGAAAGTAAACCCCCACATCATCCTCTAATAACCACACCAGAAACTGGACTCTCGTCCCCGGTCTGCACTAAATGTGGCAAAAATTCATCCCTGCATTCGGGGAAACCAGATGAAACCACTCAACACATAAAACCTGAATCAATGGCTGCACCGATAAGTTGTTAGAGAAAACTGTGCCCTGATCTACTAGAACATGAGCGTAGTGGCTAGAAGCCGGTATAACATTCTAGCAGTTAATCCATTCGGTATTACTCTTCAGAGTCGCTGATAAGCATACTCTCTGTCATCAAGCACTAAGCAGAGATAAATACTCAACCTCATCTAGATGTTCCATCCTTCCCATCAACAAGCACGCCAAGATGGTTACCTTCCCTGTGCAGCCACTTCTCAGGGTCAGGATTGGCCTTGGTGTAATGTCAGTGGGCTCCCAGTAATGACCAAGAGGTGTGTGTAGACTGAAGCAGGGAAACGCGAGACCTCACCATATATGTTATAAACAATATAATTTATTAACACTAACAGTTACAAACATAAAGCAGTGCACAATACTAAAACATAATACAGTGGCAAACATAAAACCAAACCACCCACAAGATAACAGTATATACAAGCAAGCGTCGTCAGGCAGGCCGGCGGTCAATATCAATTGGCAGTAGGGTACAGGGGGAGCAAGCAGGAGAATAGTCGGGGTCACAGGCCAGGATTCAGCAGGTAGCAAGCAGCATAGTACAGAGGGTCAGACAGAAGGAATGGTCAGGTCACAAGCCAGGAATCAGGAGCAGGAGAAGTCAGCAAAGGAACAGAAACAGGATGCAAGGACAGATACAGGGCCCAGGACAAAACACAACACCAAAGGCCGAGTCTGCAAGTCTGGCCATCCCTTAAATACCCCAGCATACATCAGTTCCAGGTGTTAGCTGGCTGAAAGGTTGAGTCTCTGATTGCTGGGAGCAACACCGCTGGCCCCAGCCCTGGTACTGCAGATCAAAAGGCAGGTGAGTCCCACCATTGCTGGCCAGTCATTCCTAACACTAGCCACCTTGCAAACCACCTCTGCCAAGACTTTCGAATAAGAAGCCCCTGGTTGATTGAGCCCGTAATTCTTCTGGAGGAGGAAGATTCAAGGATTTATAAGCCTGTTGTATAGTTCTAACACTGTAGGCTGAGAGAACCCTAGGAGACATAGCCTTCCTCTTCTTGGGCCTGAAGGGTAGACCAAGAAATTATTTCCACTTTTCTGACATGTCTGGTGTGCTCTAGGTAGACTGTAAGGGATGAAACTAGATCTCCCTTTTTCCGTTCTTCTTCTGTTTCCTCAGGAATAAAGGATGTAAATACAGACTCCCAATTCAAGTTGAAAAGATGTGGACACTTTGGGAATAAAAGAAGGTACTGGCCTGAGAGCCACTCTCCCTGGAAAAACCAAGCAGTATGGTTCCCTTTACCGAGAAAGGCACACAACTCCGAGACTCTTCTTGCTGAGGAAATAGGTATTAGGAGAATTGTTCTTAAAAGTAAGATAATACATGGAGCAGGATGATGGAGGGTCAAAAGGAGATCCCAATAAAGCTTTTAAGACCAGGGTCAAATCCCACTTCAGAAAGTAGGTCTTCACCAGAGGACGGCTTCTCATTGTGGCCTTCAAAAAGCGAATCACCAAAGGATGTAATGCCCATCTTCTTTGGATCAGAGCTGTTACTGCCAATACTTGGACTCTCAAGAAACTATATGCCAGACCCTTATCCGGGCCCTTTTGGAGGAAGTCCAACACATTAGATATTGATGCAGAGATATGATCCCAGCCATTAGCCAAGGCAAATTTACAAAAATGCTCCCCACACACTCTGGTATTGTGAAATTTGTAGACTGATTCCTGGGACTGGGATCTCCTTTTGACCCTCTATCATCCTGCTCAATGAATGATCTTACTTTTTTAAGAACAATTTTCCTAATACCTATTTCCTCAGCAAGAAGAGTAACCAAGGTGTCGATGACTTCAATTTCTTTCAAACATCCCCTTTCAATCTCCAAGCCATTAGATTCAATCTCGTAATGTATGGATTTCTTTTTACCATTCTGCATCAACAAATCTGCCCCGTTGGTAGGGGAATTGGATCTTCTAGCCTCATTCTCCATACTCATTAAAGGGAACCAGGCCCTTCTTGGCCAAAATGGAAGCATACTGGAATTTTTGAGGACAACTGACCTAGGTACTTCATACATTCAGTAAAACAAAATGGCAGTAGACTATTGCAAAAACTGCCTAAATATGGTTTGTAATAAATCCCATGCGGAGTAATTTGTCACTACGTAGGTGAATGCAATATTATATTTATTGGATCTCATAGATCGTTGAAAAGGTAGACAAGGACATGGTGAACATAATACAATCATGTTACAAAATCAAAGAATTAAAAGAAAACCGTTCGGCGTCTTCAATTTAGCTGTGTGGGCAATAAATGATCAATATGAGGCTGTAAAGACTCTTCTGTGTTCATCAGATGAGGTTTCCATACTTCTTAACCTAATCAATTCGTTTTTCCTCTAAAATAAACTTCAAAGCATATATGGAGAGGTTCCTAGGAGTAAACAGTGGAATGTGATGAATTCAAAAGAATCATAAAGCTTGTCGCACAACTTCTCATGCGCACGTGATGGAGAAGCCTCTTGAGAGAAGGAGTCCACGCCTTCATGTTGCTGGTGTGCTCTCCTCCTGCGAGAAATTCTCGATTTGTGGGTGACTTTTCTTCCCAGAACCTCCTGATGACTTTCGTGAGCAACTGGGGAAGGCACATTGACCGGCACCACTGATTGACTTTTATTCCATGCTGGGCTATTCCTGTCCAAGAAAGCATGCACTTTTGTTTTTTAAAAAAAAAAAGGTTGCCAGAACAAAATAATGACAAACGAAAACATGAAAAAACAAAAACAAAAAAAACACAAACTTGTTCTTACTAGTATAAAGAACACACAAAATAAATAAATAAAATAAAATAAATAACCTTTCAGAAGTTTGCTTCAGTTCTCTGGCTGGCAGCACGGAGGAACTCATGATGACATAAAAGAGAGCATATGAAAAACACAGCACAGGAAGAATCTGACATTGACAGTACCTCAGAAGGAACCATGGACTAACAGGGGTAGTTGGAGCCTGAAGCCAGCAGATTAGGAGACTGCAAGTCTGTGTGAAGTCTCCATAGCTGACAGGAGTAGAGAAGGAAGCTGCATTTAAATCTCCCGCCCAGAAACCTCAGAGAGCATCTGAAAGCTTCTTGACCGCTGTCTAGCAACCAGGAAGTCCCGGCCACTCACACCTCCTGCTGCAGCTAATGAAGCAGCCTGAAACCCAATAAGCTGCCTGTTTCGGAGTCTCTGAAGCAACCACCCCGCACCTATGAGCCACGAGGGAGAAGGAGGACAGCAAGCCCCAGCCAGCCCAGCCATAATGGATGAAATAGAAATCTAGAGGGGGAAAGGTAAGCACCTCCACACCTGCCAGCCACAACCTGGAGCAGTTTATGCTCCTAAAGCCTCCCCGAGCACTCAGGGCACCCACCATATAGGAGCCTTGTACCTAAACAGGGGGTCTCCCACCCAGGAGAGGCTGAACCTGGGCAGGGGTCACACTTTCACTTCTGTCTCTTCAATGAGTGTCTGGAGCAAGGACGAAAAAAGAACACCTGAGTAGGGTATTAGCTCTGATTCATGGGCTAGTTATGGGTTGTCCTGGAGGGGTCAGGAGGGCAGAGCTGACCCATAGTAGCCTGACATGAGGAGGTCCGGGAAATATATATATATACAGTACATATATATATATATATATATATATATATACAATCATACATGCTAACAACACAAATGTTCACACTGACAAAATATAGCATTTTGAGAAAAAAAAAAGGTAATTTTGAAATTGATGGCAGCAACACATCTCAGCTTTTTTGAGGAATGTTGCTGCCATCAATTTCAAATTGACCTTATTCCTTTCTGAAAATGGTACATTTTCTCAGCTTAAACTTTTGATATGTTTTCTACTGTAAATAAAATATGGTTTATGAGATTTGCAAATCTCTGTTTTTATGTAGATTTTACACAGCGTCCCAACTTTTTTGTAATAGAGGTTGTAATTAGCCCTCCCTGTGCTTATCTTGGACCACAGAATAATTAGTCCCTATTTTGCAGAGATAAGGATAGTGGGAGGGATTCAGTAGTTTACCAAAAGACAGCTGGGCATGGCTGACACCATTCAGTCCATACAAATCTGTC